TTGAGGGTAGAGAGGCAGAGAGGGGGGTTATCATTGAGGGTAGAGAGGTGGGGAGGGGAGTTATCATTGAGGGTATAGAGGCGGGGAGGGGGTTATCATTGAGGGTAGAGAGGCAGGGAGGGGGCTTATCATTGAGGGTAGGGAGGGGGGTTATCATTGAGGGTAGAGAGATGGGGAGGGGGATTATTGTTGATGGTGGAGCAGCGGGGAGGGTTGTTTTTTATGAGGGTAGAGAGGTGGGGAGGGGAGTTGTCATTGAGGGTATAGAGGCGGGGAGGGGGTTATCATTGAGGGTAGAGAGAGGGTGGGGAGGGGGGCTTATCATTGAGGGTAGAGAGGTGGGGAGGGGGCTTATCATTGAGGGTAGAGAGGTGGGGAGGGGATGTTATAGTTGAGGGTAGAGAGGCAGAGAGGGGGGTTATCATTGAGGGTAGAGAGGTGGGGAGGGGGCTTATCATTGAGGGTGGAGAGGCAGGGAGGGGGATGTTATAGTTGAGGGTAGAGAGGCAGAGAGGGGGGTTATCATTGAGGGTAGAGAGGTGGGGGAGGGGAGTTATCATTGAGGGTATAGAGGCGGGGAGGGGGTTATCATTGAGGGTAGAGAGGCAGGGAGGGGGGCTTATCATTGAGGGTAGGGAGGGGGGTTATCATTGAGGGTAGAGAGATGGGGAGGGGGATTATTGTTGATGGTGGAGCAGCGGGGAGGGTTGTTTTTTATGAGGGTAGAGAGGTGGGGAGGGGAGTTGTCATTGAGGGTATAGAGGCGGGGAGGGGGTTATCATTGAGGGTAGAGAGGTGGGGAGGGGGCTTATCATTGAGGGTAGAGAGGTGGGGAGGGGGCTTATCATTGAGGGTAGAGAGTTGAGGATAGGGGTTATTAATGAGGGTGGAGAGGTGGCTAGGGGGTTATTGTTGAGGGTGAAGAGGTGGCGAGGGGGTTATTGTTGAGGGTGGAGAAGCAGGGAGGGGGGTGACTGTTGAGGATGGAGAAGCGGGTTATTGTTGAGGGTGGAGAGGCAGGGAGGGGGGTTATTGTTAAGGGTGGAGAGGCAGGGAGGGGGGTTATTGTTGTGGGTGGGGGAGGGGGGATGTTATTGTTGAGGGTGTAGAGGCAGAGAGGGGGTTATCATTGAGGGTAGAGAGGCGGGGGAGGGTTATTATTTATGAGGGTAGAGAGGTAGGGAGGGGGATTATCATTGAGGGTAGAGAGGCGGGGAGGGGGCTTATCATTGAGGGTAGAGAGTTGGGGAGGGGTCTTATCATTGAGGGTAGAGAGGTAGGGAGGGGGGTTATCATTGAGGGTAGAGAGATGGGGAGGGGGGGTTATTGGTGATGGTGGAGCGGCGGGGAGGGGGTTATAGTTGGGGGGTGGAGAGGCGGGAGGTGGGTTATTGTTGAGGGTGAAGAGGCGGGGAGGAGTTACATTGAGGGTAGAGAGGTTGGGAGGGGGGTTATTGTTGGGGGTGTGGAGGGGAAGGTATTGTTGACGGTGGAAAGGCAGGGAGGGGGGTTATCAATGAGGGTAGAGAGGTGGGGAGGGGGGGGTCTACCATTGAGGGTAGAGAGGTGGGGAAGGGGGGTTATAGTTGAGGATGGAGAGGCGGGGAGGGGGGTTATCATTGGGGGTGGGTTATTGTTGAGGGTGGAGTGGTGGGGAGGGGTTACATTAAGGGTAGAGAGGGGGGGGGGGGGGGTAATCATTGAGGGTAGAGAGGGAGGGAGGGGGGTTATCATTGAGGGTAGAGAGAAGGGGAGGGGGTTATTGTTGATGGTGGAGAGGCGGGGAGGAGAGTTACATTGAGGGTAGAGAGGCGGGGGGAGGGGGTTTATTGTTGGGGTTCGTGCGGAGGGGAAGTTATTATTGAGGGTGGAGAGACAGGGAGGGGGGTTATCAATGAGGGTAGAACGGCAGGGGATGGGGGTTATCATTGAGGGTAGAGAGGCGGGGAGGGGGGCTACCATTGATGGTGGAGAGACAGGGAGGAGGGTTATAGTTGAGAGTGCAGAGGTGGGGAGGTGGGTTATTGTTGAGGGTGGAGAGGCGGGGAGATGGGTTATTGTTGAGGGTGGAGAGGTGGGGAGGAGTTATCATTGAGGGTAGAGAGGCAGGGAGGGGGGTTATTGTTGATGCCTCGTTTATAGACATTTGAGTTTAAGTCATTTTTTTGAACGCAGAAAACTTGCTCTCAGCAGTTGATTTTTATCAGTGTTTCAAACACAAAATGCATGTAAACACGGCTAAACGCTTGTAAACGCTGCAAATCACATTTATAAGCAATTGGTTGTGAAATTTTTTTTTAACTCTTCCAGTTCCTGATGCTGTCCAGAGACTTTTTTCATCATGAAAAATGCATGGAAAGCGTTTTCAAGGTACTCAGATGGACAAAACACTGAAAACAGGATGTTCCTACCAAGCTTGTCACGCATTATAAAGACCAATTCACACCTCAGACCTCTCCCCCCTTGGAAACAAAAGATATATTAATGACCATTCACACCTCAAATTCCTCATGAAGACCCCCTGCCAGGTGGCCTTAATGACTCCCTCCACCAGACACCTTTCCCACCCTTGGAAACAAAAGAAATGTTAATGAGCAACTAACAACTAAGCTAATCTCAACACATACTGCTGTCTCTACTTCCACTCTCTGTATTTCTCTGAAACAGTATGAAATAGTTAATAATTTACCGCTTTTCAGTGCATTCTGGGCATTTGGGAGGTTCTCCTGTGCTTATCTTTAAAAAAACGCTTCTAAACACAAAAGCACATTACTCCCCTTTCCCTTCTCCTCTCCTTGCTATTAGTCACTAGTGGTGAAATACATTAAGGAGAGACAGGCTCTGGGCAGGAACAACTTTGATGCAGCTGTATTACTGAAGGTGGAATACAAATGCTTATGGAAGAGTGGATTGGTACAGTATGTGATTCCCATTCCTTGATGTACTTTATTTTTACTGCTGTCATAATCCTTGTGCATATGGATGCTACTTTTCAGCTTGTATTTTTTTTAACAAAAAAGTCATTGTTAAAAGTCAAAGGTTTTTAACCATGTTGCATTTTATCTAAAAAAAAAAACCCTGACCACATGAGCCTTACCCTGACTGAAATGAGCAGCTGTAAGTTGTTATCTATTAAAGTAGCCCTAAAAAATGGGGAGATATTTACTGCATGGAACAGCTTCTTCTTATTATTATTATGCAAGATATATATGGAGCCATCAATTAGTGCAATATTTTACAAAATGAAGGGAGACAGTACAATTTCAATCCAATTCTATTCCATACAGGAGGGTCCTTCTCGTAACAGTCTATAATTTCCATTTTATAGTGATCTATACATACTGTAAGAATTGGGAATACCTATAAAGTGTCTTGTGATCAGGCAAGCCACATGTACTTATTCTTTTTAGGATTTTACTTTTGTGCAAAAACAGAAAACATAGATTATGCTCTATTTTGGTTGCATTCACCCCACTTTAAATCTAATAATTGCGAAAGAGCTACCATTTTTAGTTGAGGAAATTTCTGTACAGCCTTTATGCAATCATCAATTTAAACCCAAGGGAACGTTTATAATTATTATGGCAAGAACTATATCCCTGAAAATGTCATCCCCACCATCTGACTCTAAGTTAGATACAACATAGGTAGTTTTACCACAGGAGATAACAGGCAACATTGTGTGAATTGTTTCCTTGCTGCTTAATGTAGATGGAGGCATACAGTAAATTAACTTCTTTCATTCAGCCCACAGGGCTGAAACAGAGGAATCTGCATGCATTTGACTAGCCCAAATCTGACCATACACTAGTATAATTTCAGTCAAAAGTCTGCATTTTAAGAAAATTCACTGGATTTTATAATCAATAATGAGGTCAAACATAGTGATGAGAACATTAAAAAAAAAAACAGGATGGAAATTTTTTCTTGAATTAATACATTTCTAACAGTGTATATAGTTTTCATTCAGAAAAGTCCATTATTCCCAAAATTGAATGTTAAAATCAAACACAATTTTAGGTATTTTCAGACCACATTCATAAAATCTTTGAACGTTTGTTATAAAATCTACTAGTGTATTGTCAACTTGAGTCTTATTATTTGTCAGCAACTATTTCTGTAACAAATTTACTGTGATTTGGAAAAACATCATGAACTGAATCTTCTAGCTCCTCATTCACATGATTAAAAAGATGTCAGCTAGGGAATCGTGCATAATTGTAGGAAGATAATACACTGAAGAGAAGAAATGGAGAGAAATGGAACGGAACTCTTGATAAAAATGAAAACATCAGACACCTCATCTTGTTGTGACTAAAAGACAAGCAACCTGTTAGATTTTCAGCTGTTTTGCAGGTGACAACCATTACTTGATGATAAAACACTGTAAAAGAAACATTTTATGTCTCTTCAACCATTGGCACTCTACACTCAAAACTAGAGATGAGCGAATTATTCAAAAATTCGATTCGGCTGATTCGTCGAATTTGCTGAATAAATTCGTTTCGAGGCGAATATATTCGCTGCGAATTTAACGTGTAAAAAAGGGTGTTTCTAGGCTTCAGAGAGCCTTTATATTAGTGCAGAACACTGTACCTTTAATTTAAATGCCCTTGGAGTCTGCTGGGGAAGAGAAATAATACTGTCAGTCAGTATGACATGCAGATGATGAGTGCCGTCGATCTTAGAATCACCGCACACTTCACTCATTTGGGCAGTCACGGGGCCAAAACCAGAGTGTGGAGCCACAGTGTGGCGGTGGAGGCAGCAGCAATGGGAGGCCATACAGCACCCTATGACAAAATGGAACCCACCAGCAGTGTGAGGAGACCTGAAAGTGGCACATGGCAGAGTGTGGCGATGGAGACAGCAGCAATGGGAGGCCGTACAGGGACCCATGACACACTCTGGACCTGGCAGCAGCATGAGGAGGCGGTACAGGGGCCCATGACAGATTACGGGCCTGGCAGCAGCATGAGGAGTCGGTACGGGGGGCCCATGGCAGATTACGGGCCTGGCAGCAGCAATGGGAGGCCATACAGCACCCTATGACAAAATGGAACCCACCAGCAGTGTGAGGAGACCTGAAAGTGGCACATGGGCAGAGTGTGGCGATGGAGACAGCAGCAATGGGAGGCCGTACAGGGACCCATGACACACTCTGGACCTGGCAGCAGCAGCATGAGGAGGCGGTACAGGGGCCCATGACAGATTACGGGCCTGGCAGCAGCATGAGGAGTCGGTACGGGGGCCCATGGCAGATTACGGGCCCTGGCAGCAGCAATGGGAGGCCATACAGCACCCCTATGACAAAATGGAACCCACCAGCAGTGTGAGGAGACCTGAAAGTGGCACATGGCAGAGTGTGGCGATGGAGACAGCAGCAATGGGAGGCCGTACAGGGACCCATGACACACTCTGGACCTGGCAGCAGCATGAGGAGGCGGTACAGGGGCCCATGACAGATTACGGGCCTGGCAGCAGCATGAGGAGTCGGTACGGGGGCCCATGGCAGATTACGGGCCTGGCAGCAGCAATGGGAGGCCATACAGCACCCTATGACAAAAATGGAACCCACCAGCAGTGTGAGGAGACCTGAAAGTGGCACATGGCAGAGTGTGGCGATGATGAAGACAGCAGCAATGGGAGGGCCGTACAGGGACCCATGACACACTCTGGACCTGGCAGCAGCATGAGGAGGCGGTACAGGGGCCCATGACAGATTACGGGCCTGGCAGCAGCATGAGGAGTCGGTACGGGGCGGCCCATGGCAGATTACGGGCCTGGCAGCAGCAATGGGAGGCCATACAGCAGCACCCTATGACAAAATGGAACCCACCAGCAGTGTGAGGAGACCTGAAAGTGGCACATGGCAGAGTGTGGCGATGGAGACAGCAGCAATGGGAGGCCGTACAGGGACCCATGACACACTCTGGACCTGGCAGCAGCATGAGGAGGCGGTACAGGGGCCCATGACAGATTACGGGCCTGGCAGCAGCATGAGGAGTCGGTACGGGGGCCCCATGGCAGATTACGGGCCTGGCAGCAGCATGAGGAGGCGGTACAGGGGCCCATGGCAGAGTGGCGGAGCGTAAGCAGCTAAAATTGAAGGCCATACAGAGGCCTATGTTAAAAAAGTCCCCCCAGCAGCAGCGTGGGGAGACGGACTAATAGTCGTCTCCCCACGCTGCTGCTGGGGGGGGACTTTTTAACATAGGCCTCTGTATGGCCTTCAATTTAAGCTGCTTACGCTTCGCCACTCTGCCATGGGCCCCTGTACCGCCTCCTCTTGCTGCTGCCCAGGTCCAGAGTGTGGTCATGGGTCCCATGTACGGCCTCCCAAGCAGTGCTGCTGACTTCATCGCCAGACTCTGCCATTTGCCACTTTCAGGTCTCCTTACACTGTTGGTGGGTTCCATTTTGTGATAGGGTGCTGTATGGCCTTCATTGCTGCTGGCCTCCACCGCCACCCTGCGCCATGTGCCTCTGTAGTCTGCTCATGCTGCTGACGGCTTCCGCTTTTTAACCGAGGCCTGTGTTTGGCTTCCGAATACTGCTGCATCCACCGCCACCCTGCGCCATGTGTCTCTGTCGTCTGCTCACGCTGCTGACGGCTTTCGCTTTTTAACCTAGGCCTGTGTATGGCTTCAGAATAATGCTGCCTACAACCGCCACCCTGCGCCATGTGCCTCTGTCGTCTGCTCACGCTGCAGCCATTTGGTCCATACTGATTCATGGCCCCCTGTACCGGCTCCTCATGAACGTGGTTCAGCGGGTTTGCATCACTTAACGGCAAATCGTTGACAAACGCTGGGACGTTCAGTGTTGTGCGCATTAAGCCAGACACCAAAGGGGCAGCAGCACAGACCTGTTATTACTCGCTCAAGCATGGCTGAACAAAACCAGTCTCAAGGGGACAAATTGGACCCAGACCTGCCCAGGGTCTCGTAAGTAGATTGCACGGAGGAGTAGAGTTCGTTATTGGAATTAACTGTGAGGGACTTTTAAACCTAGGCCTGTGTATGGCCTTCAATTGAAGCTGCTTCTGCTCCGCCACTCTGCCATTGGACTCTTGAAAGTCGTCGACTCATCATCGACTGCAGACTGAGGCAGCCGCTGCTGGTGGAGCTGCCACTGCTCCTACCACCCCACCCCTCCCCTGCTGCCATGGCAGCGGAACGCGAGCGCACAGGGCCCACAGTGTCTGAGGATGGACGTTGGCGCAGAAAAGGCAGAGACCAACTGACTACACATAGGTGGTTTTTATTAGTACTTTATTTTGGCCTCCCTCTCAGCAGGTGTGAAAAAGGCCACCATTTTTGAACGGTAGCGAGGGTCCAACAAGGTGGACAGCCAAAAGTCATCCCTCTGTCTGATGGTTATTATTCGGCTGTCGCTACGCAAGCAAGCGAGCATGCTATGGGCCATTTGTGCCAAGGAATGCGAGGGACTCCCTGCCTCCATCTCCACAGCATACTGCCACGGTGCGTCTGGGTCCTCTGTCTCCTCCTCCTCCTCTCTACCAGATGCTCCTGCTCCTCCACTCCTGTCCGCTGAGTGGAAAAACCACCCATTTCACTCATCAATAATTCCTGAGCACCAATGTCCTCCTCTACCTCCTCCTCTTCTTCCTGTCCTGCCCCCACAGGGGTCATGTGGCGTTGAGATCTGTGCGCCACGTCTACCACACCCTGACCAGCCATTGTTAACAGCATTTGTTCCAGGACGTGCAACAGAGGAATGACGTCGTTCATCCCATAGTCCTGCCGACTCACGAATAGCGTGGCCTCCTCAAAGGGCCTGAGCAAGTGGCAGGTGTCACGCATGAGCTGCCAATGGCTGACATCTAAGTTACACAGGGGAGTACCTTTATCCGCTTGTAACATCAGGAAATCGGTGATGGCCTTTCGCTGTTCGTAAAGGCGGTCTAACATATGTAGGGTTGAATTCCACCTTGTTGCAACGTCGCAGATCAGGCGATGCTGTGGAATTCCGTTCTGCCGCTGCAGCTCAAGGAGGGTGTGCTTTGCGGTGTAGGAATGGCTGAAATGCATGCAAAGTTTACGTGACATTTTAAGGATGTCTTGCAGTGGGATGGTGGATTTTAGGAACCGCTTGACAACCAGATTGAACACGTGAGCCATGCATGGCGCATGGCACAACCTTCCTTGACGCAGAGCAGACACCATGTTCTTTCCGTTGTCGGTCAACATGGTTCCGATTTTCAGTTTGCGCGGAGACAGCCATCTGTCGATTTCTCTGTTCATTACACTCAGAAGTTCCTCCCCTGTGTGACTACGTTCGCCAAGGCATACCAGGTGCAGCACAGCGTGACACCGTTGCGCCCTGCACATGTGATATGCCGGTCGGGTAATGGGACTTGGCACGGGGGGTGGTGGCTGAGGACACGGCGGAAGAAGAGGTGGTAGAGGCGGACATCTTTGCTGGACCAAGGATGTGCAAACGTGGAGGCAAAAGCGGCGTGACCTGTCCAAGTTGCTGGTGCGGCTGTGCTGGCACCACGTTCACCCAGTGGGCCGTAAATGACATGTACTGTCCCTGACCGTAGTTACAGCTCCACACGTCGGCGCTGCCGTGCACTTTGGCAGAGACCGACATGCTCAAAGACTGGCCCACCATCTCTTCTACATGTGAATGCAGGGGCTGGCACTGCCTTTTTGGCAAAGAAATGCCGGCTTGGCACTCTCCACCGCGGCTCGGCACAAGCCATAATTTCTCGTAAAGGTGCTGAGTCCACCACTTGGAAAGGGAGGGACTGCAGCACCAGCAACTTGGACAGGAGGACGTTCAGCTTCTGCACCGTCGGGTGCGTGCTCACAAACTGTTGTCTCTTGGAAACGGATTCCAAGAAAGACTGCTGACGGAATCCGTGAAGAGGAGTAGCAGGAGAAGGAGCATCTGAACGAGCGGAAGATGCCAACGAGCGACAACTCCCCTCAGCAGAGGTGTTGGAGCCTTGACTGGCTGATAGAGGGCGATTGACGTCGGGTGACGGAGCAAGTAATGGAGCGGGTGATGGAGCGGGGGCTGGGGCAGGCAGAACCGCCGTATCTTTATCACGGTTTTCCCAGGCCACCGAATGGCGACGCTGCATATGCTGACGCAACGCTGTAGTCCCAACATGGGCCCCCTGGCCCACGCTTGACTTTCTGGCCACATAGTCGACATACGGCTACGTTTACTTCCTCGGGCGGCTTGACGAAAAATTGCCACACCGCCGAGTAGGAAACTTTTCCCCCGCTACTCCTCACTGGCTGACTGCTACTTCCTCCGTGCACACCGGCACCACTACTGGCCGTGGTGGTAGGCTGCAGTGGAGCTGGTGCTCTACTCCGTGGCCGTTTGGCTCCACTGACACTGCTGCGACCCTGCTGCCTCCTGGGCAACCCACCGACTGTTTTGCTCGCTGGCAAGCTGGCACCCTCTTCTCCTGATGATGCGGAAGCAATAGCCTGATGACGACAAGGCTGCCAAGTGCGATCAGCCTCATCATCATCAATTAGGGTCTCCGCGTCACTACTAGCCCCCTCGGCTGCGTGTGGGTCAGGAGACAGACCTGTCTCTAGACCGGCTACCGAGCCACTCTCCTCGCCAGTACTTCTTCGCCTGGCTGCTGAAGAGGCGGATGTCTCCCCCCGTTCCTGACCGCCCTCTGTTAGCTCTTCCTCACTGTACAGTGGGGCTGAGCCCACAGCATGCGATACTTCGCTTGGTGAGGGAACACCAAAGGACAGGGGCAGGTAGAGGACACGTGATTTCAGTGGGCTTGCTCCCGGGCCATGCCAACTAACGGTTGTGTCTGACGTACCCACCGACCGTTGGCTGTAGGTGTCAGAGGTGACCTGGGAAGAGGAAGACGACCGAGTCAACCAATCGATGACGGCAGGGTTGTCGGTGGAGACATGACCGCTGGATGACACCGGGAGCACTGGCCTCTGGCTGCAACTAGTGCTGCCCTCGACCCCTTCCTCTGCTGCCACGTCTGCTTGCTCCTGAAACATTGCCTCCTCTGCCACTCCTCTGCGTGTTGTCTGACATACTCTTTAATTCAATAGTGGTTGTGAAGCAGAAATTAACGATTCTGTGTCCCTGAGTAACAATTCTGTGTCCCCCGAGTAACGATTCTGTGTCCCCGAGTAACGATTCTGTGTCCCCGAGTAACGATTCTGTGTCCCTCAGTAACAACAATTCTGTGTCCCTGAGTAACGATTCTGTGTCCCTCAGTAACGATTCTGTGTCCCTCAGTAACAATTCTGTGTCCCTGAGTAACAATTCTGTGTCCCTGAGTAACGATTCTGTGTCCCTGAGTAACGATTCTGTGTCCCTCAGTAACAATTCTGTGTCCCTCAGTAACAATTCTGTGTCCCTGAGTAACGATTCTGTGTCCCTGAGTAACGATTCTGTGTCCCTCAGTAACAATTCTGTGTCCCTGAGTAACAATTCTGTGTCCCTGAGTAACAATTCTGTGTCCCTGAGTAACGATTCTGTGTCCCTGAGTAACGATTCTGTGTCCCTCAGTAACGATTCTTTGTCCCTGAGTAACAATTCTGTGTCTGTCCCTGAGTAACGATTCTGTGTCCCTGAGTAACAATTCTGTGTCCCTGAGTAACGATTCTGTGTCCCTGAGTAACGATTCTGTGTCCCTCAGTAACGATTCTGTGTCCCTCAGTAACGATTCTGTGTCCCTGAGTAACAATTCTGTGTCCCTGAGTAACGATTCTGTGTCCCTGAGTAAACGATTCTGTGTCCCTGAGTAACGATTCTGTGGTCCCTCAGTAACGATTCTGTGTCCCTGAGTAATGATTCTGTGTCCCTGAGTAACAATTCTGTGTCCCTGAGTAACGATTCTGTGTCCCTGAGTAACGATTCTGTGTCCCTGAGTAACGATTCTGTGGCCCTAAAGTCTCTTTGGCCCTAACTCTGTCCCTAATACAGACAGGTCTGTCTCTCTTGAATGACCGGAGGCTAATGGAGAATTCTAAGATGGCCGCAATTTATAGCTCCACCATTACACAGTGCTGGCTGGCTGGCTGCTGATTGGCTAATGCGATCACATGTCATGAATGAATGCATTATGGGTCAGCGCGCCTTGTCTGCGCGCCTTCCCAGAGATCCCCGCTCCGTCGCCACACATGTCGCCGCCAT